TATTATACTATATTATATTACATTATATTATATTATATTATATTATAGATATATTATTTTTAATATTTATATTTTCTTTTATTTTTATTTTGTTTATTTTTGAACAAGGAAATGGAACGCATACTTATTCGACAAAAATATAAAGTTAATTACGCCTGAAAACAAAATAAAGGCAAAATTGGTCACCCCATAATAACCACCTACGATTTCTCGTGCATCGGCGCACTGTTGGTTCCAATCGATGAATTAGCTGTTCACGACGATTTCAGCAATGTTTTAAGACGCGAAGACGCGTTTTATATAAGTCGTTGAATTCGTCTTGACGTCGACTATAACATTATTAAGTAAAAAAGACATAGTATCGATTAAAAAATCATGGTGACTTCTTATTTAAAAAATATTTTATTTTAATTTTCTATATTCATCTTTATAGAAGACCGAGAACTAATTAATTTTTGTTCCAAACATTTTCTTTATCAAAGCAGTAGATCTGTGACCGGAACCGCACGGAGTGTCAAGAGATCGTTGTTGGTTCTGTTAATTTATAGTGTTTATATTTTGATAGTAGTATTTTTGTTGTTACCTAATATTGTTGTTATTCGATCGATAATCAAGACAGTAACCTCTTGACGCTCCGTGCGATTCCGGAGACACAGATCCGCTTTAAACAATAATCATTTTCATTGATGGACGTTAGGGGAAGTGGTGTTGGTGTGATTATACAGGTAAATGTATGTAGAAATCATTCCACTTTGAAAGAATGTGCTATCCGTTGATAGTCGAAAAATATTAATTGTTAACAATTATCGTTAAAATTATCGCAAGTTAAAGTTATCGTAAAATGTTGACAATTATCCTCAGTCAATTGAATATTAATGTTCAAATAACTTACAAACGATATTTCTTATGAACAACAGAATTTTTAACACGTTGAACGCTGCGTCACCCATATCTGGGTGACGTTTTCGCAGTCATCGTCCAATTAAAGCAGGATTTTGAAGGTAATTTATAGTAATTTTATTTGTAACACAACTATGATGAATATAGACAATATGGGATAACAATAAAATGTAAAGTAAACAAAAACAAACATTAAAAATATACTTATACTAATATTAAAATAAAATAATAAAATATAAAAGTATATATATATATATATATATATATATATATATATATATATATATATATATACTTATATAATACTATTTCATCGTAACTAATAAAGTGTTATAATATTTTAAAAACAAATTTAAATATAACTAACAAATTATACTCATATTTAAATTTGTTTTTAAAATATTATAACACTTTATTAGTTACGATGGAATTCGTTAAAACATTGTAATCATAATTGGGGTGACTCTGAACACCCGGGACAATGCGTTGTAGTATTTTGTAAATTTTTTTTCGCTTCTTGGCGCCGGGAGAAACTCCACCGATTCATGCTGGGCGTTCAACGTGTTAGGTACGAGAAATGTACTATTGGTAAGATAAATGTTTACAAACATCATTTTATTATTCACATGTCATCGCAATTTTTCAGTCAATTCCGGTGCTTTGAAAGAGAAAAATGTTTCGAACAAAAATCAATTGATTCTCACAGTCTTCTATAAACATCTCAACATAAAAACGCTTGAATAAGTTATATTATTGGAGCAAGTTCTATAATAAAAACTTTACAAATTCTAAATAAATTCGGTCTTCTCACTTTTGTGAAGCAGTACATGCCAGTTAGTATTACTGCTTGGTAGGTGTATAATAAAATATAGTATAGTGTTAAATAAAAAATTAAGGTCACCATGACTTTTTAATTGTTACCATATCTTTTTTACTTAATAAAGTTATGGCTGACGTAAAGATGACATTCAACGATCTACACTCATACACGAAAGTATTCGAACGCTTACGTTTCTAACATTCAATTAATCAAATATATGTGTTAAACTGAAGCATTTGATATAATATGACACATATAACAAGGGATGGGTCTTAAGACTGCGTAAGCAAAATTAGAAAATAATTCAACAGTATATAGCGCTTTTACAGTACATTTATTGTAAACACGTACCAGAAATGGCTCACAAAAGTATTCGAACGAAACAATTAATAGTTATTTAAATTGAACGATTAAAGGTTTTACTAGGAAGTTGATCCACCTTTTGCTTTTATAACACCCCTAAGTCTATTTTCCATTGAGTGGACCAACTTAGAAGTAACATTTGCATCTATTGATTGCCATATTCCAATAATATTTCGTTTTAACACCTCTTTCGAAGTAATAACCGTATTTCTTAATCATTTTTCTACTTCATCTCATAAATGTTCAATGGGTTTTAAATCGGAACTCTTTGCGGTGAATGTGGCACCACGTGTGGAACATTTTACAATAC